CCAATGAATCTACCAGCATGTCTTTGAAGTGTGGGAGGAAACCCACGCAGGCACAGGGAGAACATGATAAACTCCAGGCAAGTGGTGCCATGGCTGGGATTTGAACTAACAATCCTAGTACTGCCAACCATTTAGCCACTGTGCTGCGCGAACAATTAACCCCCCCCCGGCGGCATTCCCGAGTGTAGCTTGGGGTTAATTATCAGTGCCAAAAGCGGTAACTCTGAGCTACACTCGGGAATACCCTGCAGCGTTGCTCAGGGATTCCCTCGATCACTTACCTTGTCCTGCACTCCCGCGATGTCCCCCCTGCAGCGTCCACGGCCATCTCCTCCGGCCGATGCCGGCATCTGTCTTCTGGGTTCCGTCCCCTGCAAGCGTCAGGACGTACGGGGGACGGAACTGGCGAGAAATTTGAAAATTTTAAAAAGTGACATTCACTAAATACACTAAAATCACATAGTATAACATTCCTGTATCAAACCATTTCACATACATTTTGTCCCGAGTGCTTTGTCCTGTGCCCTGCCTGCATTTTTACTGTTTTTTTTTTCTGCCTGGAAACTGAGAAACGTCCATGGCGTCCAAAAAGTGTCCCTTTAGGTCAAAATCGGTTTTAGACCGGCTAGAGAACAGCGATAGTAAATCAGAACCACTTGCAGAATTGAGTGATAATGATTTGTGGGGAAATTCCTCATCAGACACTGAAAACGATTTTGCGACTTTGCTCAGTGATATGTGAACTTGGCGCTATATTTCAAATTTCAGTGTTTTTGGTTTGATTATATTATTGAATTAAATGTATTATTATTATATTATTATTTTTTATGATTATTTATTAAATTATAATTTATGATTTCGTGTTTCAAATTTTATTTTATCATACCCGGGATGTTTACTAGACTCTTGTTTGGACAGATTTCAGTGAGTTATTCCTAAAAATTACAGGCCTACAATAAAAAAAGACATATTTCCATGCAAAAAAATGTACCGCTTTGAGCACAGAAATACTGACATAATCAGACAACTAGGGAGGTTAAAGCACTTTAAAACAAACTCTCACTGACCTCTGTAGCTTTAGGCATTGTGGAGAAATGTATCTTCAAAGTTTGCAACTGAAATCTCATTTCATCATTTACAATATAAAGGGAGACAATACAGCAACAATACAGTTCAATACAAGAGGGTTAGGAGGGTTCTGATCCTTGGAGCTTACAATCTAAAGGGGAGGGGCTGGTGGTACAAAAGGTAATAACTGTGGGGGATGGACTGGTAGGAGGAATAGAAGATTCTGTTATTATCTGAAGGCAGGATAGGCTTCCCTGAAGAGATAGGTTTTCAGAGATCACCTAAAAGTGGGTAGAGTAGGCAATAGTCGGATAGATTGGGGTAGAGAGTTCCAGAGAGTGGGGGAGGCTATAGAGACGAGCATGGGAGGAGAAGACAGGGGAGCTAGAGAGCAGGAGGTTGTGGGAGGAGCAGAGAGGACGGTTTGGGTGATATTTGGAGACAAGATTGGTGATGTAATTTGGGGCAGAGTTTGAAATGGTTTTATACGTGATTGTAAATGTTTTGAATTTTATTCAAAACATTTAGATTTACTAACACCTGTATAATAGGAGGTCAAACCTAAACACTTTCAATTTGTATGCAATCAGTCAGGCTCTTGCGCTACACAGTTGAAGGCAAATCTAAAGGGAATTGAATAAGAAAATTGTATAATGTATGGTCCAGCCTTACTTGCTAAAAAGATTGCTAATTCTGTTTGGCCAATCTTGTGATCCAAGCACCCCTACCAGACAGTGCAGGGAAGTCATGGATGTCCACTATAGTTAAAGTGCAACAGTGACCAGGTTACGGAAGTTAAAGTGGAGTTCCGATCCCGCCACCCTCCCCAAAAAAAAAATTAAAAGTCAACAGCTACACATACTGTGGCTGCTGACTTTTAATAGCAGGGTACTTACCTGTCCAGGCATCCAGTGGTGTCCTCAGCTCGAGCCGATTCTTCAGTCAGCTGTCAGGTGCTAGCGCCACCATCTTCACTAAGGGAAACTGGCGGTGAAGCCTTGTGGCTTCACCGCCAGTTTCCTACTGTGAATGCCTGAAGTGCTCTGTGCTTTGTGAATGGGCTGCAGTCCTCTGCAACCTTAAAAAGTATCCCAAAGGGCTGTGGGGGATGCCGAACGCCCGGCTCAGTTTGCCGCAGCGAACTCAGCTGGGAGTGGGAGCAGGTACCTGTGAAAACCAGGTGCCTGCCCCCCGCAAGGGGTGCCAAATGTGGGGGACAGGAGGGCAGAAAAGCACAACTTCCACTTTTGGGTGGAACTCTGCTGTGATGTGTTCAAGCATTCTTTATTTATTACAGATACTTATATAGTGCCAGCAATTTACGAAGTGATTTATATATATATATATATATACAGTATATTGTACATTCACATAAGTCCCTAACCCTCAAGGGTGTACAATCTAAGGTCCCTAACTCACATTCATACATACACATACTAGGACAATTTAGACAGGATCCAATTCACCTACCAGCATGTCTTTGGAGTGTGGAAGGAAACTGGGGTACCTAGAGGAAACCCGCACAGGCACAGGGAGAACATGCAAACTCCAAGCAGGTGGTGTCATGGTTGGGTTTTTAAGCAACAACCCGAGTACTGCCAGGTGGAAGTGCTAACCGTTTAGCCTCTGTACTGCCCATATTTAAAGTGTTTTAAGCCCTTTCAGCAGCTGACTTAAAGTGGTATTAAAGTCTATTTTTTTTTTTTAACAAACAAATCATACTTGCAGTGGTTTTGCCCAGAGCAGCCCTGATTCTCCTCTTCTCAGGTCCCCAGCCAGCGTTTCTGGCTCCAACCCCTGGAGCAAGCTGCTTGTCTCTGGGGGCACTGATGTGTGCTCACTCCCGAGCCGCTGCTCTTATCCATAAGACTCATAGGTCTGTGACTTGGACCTGCTCCCCGCTCTTTTCTGACTGGCTCGATGGCTGTGATTGACAGCAGCGTGAAACAATGGCCTCCAGCTGCTGTCTCAGCCAATGAGGAGGGAGAATCTCTATTGAGCAGAGGTTCTCGTGAACATCACTGGATCGAAGGGGGCTCAGGTAAGAAGGTTTTTTACCTTCATGCATAGAATGCATGAAGGTAAAAAAACTTCAGCCTTTAATATCACTGTAATCACTTACTAAGTATTTAGCTTCTTTATCTTTTAATCCTTGCTTAAGTTGCAGTGTAAATTGGTCACATAATAATTGCCCCAGGGTGGCTCCTTTCTCTTACAGCATCCTATTGAGTCACCATTCGCAGGGACTAGAGTTGTGTCTCCCTACACTGTGTGAATCAATTAAAACACACAGCCATGTATTCTGGGATGGCAAGGTACACCCTGATTCTCCCCTATCCCTTCCCCAAGCTAACAGACTGACTCCAGACTGCACTGTCCCCTGTTAACTCTTTCCTGTGAAGACTGTAAGTTCAGGGAAGCAGCACCAAGAGAGCAGAAGTCAGCCATATTAAAAGTTGTAGTTTACTGAGAAATGTTTATCTTATTCCGCTCAGTTCAAAAAAAAAAAAAAAATTGACGGTTTAATTCTACTTTAAGGGAATGGAAAGCAAATAGGTAAAAAGTAAGAAAGAGAGTAAAACAGAAAGAAAGTTTTCAGCATTAGACCAACCAATGCAAAAAAAAAAAAGGGAGTGTTATATTGAAATCCTTAGACAGTTTTACTTTATGCATGTAGAACTAATGTTTTACTTTACTCCATCATTTATTTATTTCAGGTACTTGTATACACCAGAGGCGGACTGACCATTTGGAAACTCGGGCACTGCCTGAGGGCCCGGGGTCAGTAGGCGGCCCCATGAGATGCCCCTGGTACCTTTTTCATAGGCTTTTTGAGTTTGCTCAAGGACACAGGGGCCCCATGATCCCCTATTGCCCGGGGGCCCCATGAGTTGTCAGTCCACCCCTGGTATACACTGTCAATTTACGCAGCACTTTACATATATATTGTACATTCACATCAGTCCCTAACCCTCAAGGGGCGTACAATCTAAGGTCCCTAACTCACATTCATACATACACATACTAGGGACAATTTAGACTGGAGCCAATTCACCTACCAGCATGTCTTTGGAGTGTGGGAGAAAACTGGAGTACCTAGAGGAAACCCACACAGGCACAGGGAGAACATACAAACTCCAGGCAGGTGGTGCTGTGGTTGGGATTTCAACCAACGACCCGAGTACTGCCAGGCGGAAGTGCTAACCATTTAGCCACTGTGCTGCCTGCATGTAAATGAAGCCATGCTGTAATAGCGAGCCAAATGCTAGGCTTGTGATTACAGGGGGGGATTCTATTCATAAAGCCCATTCAGATGTCATAAAAAAAAGTCATATTCAGGAGGTGATACTGCAGTAAAGGTAAAGAAGCCCTAATGCACTAATGTGCACCAAAAAAGTTGCATGTACTTTTTTTTTTTTTGTTACTAGTCTTACTAAACCCAGGACCCTGCATTCACTATATCTGGTCTCCCAGGACCCTGCATTCACTATATCTGGTCTCCCAGACCCTGCATTCACTATATCTGGTCTCCCCGGACCCTGCATTCACTATATCTGGTCTCTCCCGGACCCTGCATTCACTATATCTGGTCTCCCCGGATCCTGCATTCACTATATCTGGTCTCCCAGGACCCAGCATCCACTATATCTGGACTCCCCGGACCCTGCATTCACTATATCTGGTCTCCCAGGACCCTGCATTCACTATATCTGGTCTCCCCGGACCCTGCATTCACTATATCTGGTCTCCCAGGACCCCGCATTCACTATATCTGGTTTCCCCGGATCCTGCATTCACTATATCTGGTCTCCCAGGACCCTGCATTCACTATATCTGGTCTCCCAGGACCCTGCATTCACTATATCTGGTCTCCCCGGGCCCTGCATTCACTATAGTCTGGTCTCCCAGGACCCTGCATTCACTATATCTGGTCTCCCAGGACCCCGCATTCATTATATCTGATCTCCCAGGACCCTGCATTCACTATATCTGGTCTCCCAGGGCCCCGCATTCACTATATCTGGTCTCCCAGGACCCTGCATTTACTATATCTGGTCTCCCAGGACCCCGCATTCACTATATCTGGTCTCCCCGGACCCTGCATTCACTATATCTGGTCTCCCAGGACCCTGAATCCACTATATCTGGTCTCCCAGGACCCTGCATTCACTATATCTGGTCTGCCCGGACCCTGCATTCTCTATATCTGGTCTCCCAGGACCCTGCATTCACTATATCTGGTCTCCCAGGACCCTGCATTCTCTATATCTGGTCTCCCAGGACCCTGCATTCACTATATCTGGTCTTCCCGAACCCTGCATTCACTATATCTGGTCTCCCCGGACCCTGCATTCATTATATCTGCTCTCCCCGGACCCTGCATTCACCATATCCTGTCTCCCCGGACCCTGCGTTCACTATATCTGGTCTCCCAGGACCCTGCATTCACTATATCTGGTCTCCCAGGACCCTGCATTCATTATATCTGGTCTCCCCGGGACCCTGCATTCACTATATCTGGTCTCCCGGGACCCTGCATTCACTATATATCTGGTCTCCCCGGACCCTGCATTCACTATATCCGATCTCCCAGGACCCCGCATTCACTATATCTGGTCTCTCAGGACCATTGCATTCACTATATATCCGATCTCCCAGGACCCTGTATTCACTATATCTGATCTCCCAGGACCCTGCATTCATTATACCTGGTCTCCCAGGACCCCGCATTCACTATATCTGGTCTCCTCGGACCCTGCATTCACTATATCTGGACTCCCACGGTACACAGAACATGGAAATGCAATTATTTTAGTAAATATAAACTGCTAAATACCTTTTCTCATCAGCAGTATATAGTAGTCTTGTGACTTCTATAAGTGTCCAGCCGAGCGCTTGTAGGAGGAGTTTTCAGTCCCCTGATTGCCCTATGAGGCTGCATGACTGCTGCCCCTCTGTCTGGACAGTGCTGATTGGCCTTGTGCTGATCACATGCACTCTCCCAAAGAAAGAAAAAAAACCTATCTGGCAATACACACCAAACTGAGCATGTGCAGCTTGCCTCCAAGGCAGCAGATGGATTGGGAACAGTAGAAGTGGGGGAGGATCAGAGAAGACAGGATCAAACATCCCTTTTACACAATGCAGGGGATTAACCCCTTAGGTTCCACAGGGAGTATAACAAGTATGCTTTACAACATATAGAATCCCAACTGTGGCACCACCTGCCTGGAGTTTGCATGTTCTCCCTGTGCCTGCGTGGGTTTCCTCCGGGGACTCCGGTTTCCTCCTACACTCCAAAGACATGCTGGTAGGTTAATTGGCTCCTGTCTAAATTGTCCCTAGTATGTGTATGTATGAATGAGAGTTAGGGACCTTAGATTGTACACCACTTGAGGGTTAGGGACTGATGTGAATGTACAATATATATGTAAAGTGATGGCACTATATAAGTACCTGAAATAAATAAATAAAATATACAGACTGATTTTACTGTTGAGGGTTTAGTAATACTTTAGGGCTCCATGCACACGGGGCGTTATAATAACACTGGTAACGTCATGTTAAAAACGCAAGTTTTTCAGCGTTTTTGCATTAGCATTTTGCCGCCTTTTTTCTGCATTTGCGTTTTTTTTCACAAAAGAAAAATGTTTTTATTTGCTAAAAAAAAGTCCAAAAACGTGGGTTTGCCACTTTTTGACACATTTTTCAGCATTTGAGCGTTTTTACAGCTAAAAAAAAACTCCTCTAGGACCCCACTAGTCCTGGGTTTTTTTTTCCCAGCCAAAAATACGCCCCTGCCAAAAACCTGCTTCCAGTCTATGTGTGTATGGACACATAGGATAACATGCTGGGGGTTTACTGGCTGTAGAAAAAAAAACACCAAAAGCCAAAAACAGCCGCTGTAAAAACCGTGTGCATGAGGATTAAATGTATCACACGAAAACGCATGGTAGTGCACAATCCTGCGTTCTGGTATGCAAAAATACACATGCCCTGGCAAAGTGCAATGGGGTGCCATTGAGAATGAATGGTGCCGCAGCACCACAATGGGCAACACATGGGTAAATTGGCGTGTCCACAGTGCAAAGGTGTAAACCTGACCCAATCGGCTTCTCATTTTGTTTTTTTCGGAGGCTGGCTGCCTGTGTGAATGAGGACCGTTCTGCTCTCACTAAACACGCGTGTCCTGACTCCGCTCACATGACGGCCAGCACAGGCTGTCAGGAGCTGATTGGAAGCTTCCATGCACATTTCCCATTATCTGTGTATTATGTAGAAGGCAGCGTGCCTGAAAAATAACAGGACATGATGAGCCGCACACAGAGCCTCATTCATAGCCGGGCCGCTCTTTATCTAATGCGCTCTATCTGTGTCATCTGCTGAAAACTGTCCAACCGACCCGGCTGATAACTTTTCCTGCAGAAGCCGCATGCTGTGATTGTTATCTCAGCTGAAAAGAGCGAATGTCCAACAGAACTTCCTCTGCATTACTGACAGTCCTTCTAAATGTATCTAAAAAATGTCATCTATTGCAGATTACCAGTCCACAGATTTTAGGTTTGCCTTTGTTGTCACCTGGTGATCCTGCCAGTTACACACTTCCTGTCATACAGTGACAACGCTAGCAGTACTTTATTTATTGAGGAACAGTGTTGTCACTCTAGGGCAGGGCTACAGAACGCCTCCCCACCAGGGGCGGACTGACCATTTGGAAACTCGGGCACTGCCCGAGGGCCCGGGGTCAGTAGGGGGCCCCATGAGATGCCCCTGGTACCTTTTTTATAGGCTTTTTTGAGTTTGGGCAAGGACACAGGGGCCGCATGATCCCCTATTGCCCGGGGGCCCCATGAGTTGTCAGTCCGCCCCTGCTCCCCTCTTCTCCTCTCCTTGACTTAAGATGAAGGTGTTCTGAGAAAACTAAAAAATATTAACTGATAACAGTGCAGCACAGGCAGAGAGCACGGGAAGTTGTCAGCTCACAAGATTTCTGGCAGAATCAACAGGTACTTATTTGGACTTATCAAGCAACATGGGCAGCACAGAGGCTAAATGGTTAGCACTTCCGCCTGGCAGTACTAGGGTCATTGGTTTGAATCCCAACCACGGCACCACCTGCCTGGAGTTTGCATGTTCTCCCTGTGCCTGTGTGAGTTTCCTCCAGGTACTCAGGTTTCCTCCCACACTCCAAAGACATGCTGGTAGGTTAATTGGCTCCTGTATAAATTGGCCCTAGTATGTGTATGTATGAATGTGAGTTAGGGACCTTAGATTGTACGCCCCTTGAGGGTTAGGGACTGATGTGAATGTACAATATATATGTAAAGCGCTGCGTAAATTGATGGCGCTATATATAAGTACCTGAAATAATTAAATACAAAATACTTGCAATGGTTTATTTAACAGATATAAAATGGAGCAAAAAGGAGACATTCATTGTTGGGGTATATACACTTTAAGCCTGGGTTCTCAAATGCGGTACCGTATACTGCATGTGATTCGCACAGGAACCGCACCGCGAATTGTGCGTTTTGCGATTGGAGCCATACATTCTGTATGGTTTAAATCGCACCGCACCAAAAAGTTGCAGGACCCTTTTTTTGGTCCGCATTAGAACTGGATTGCATGGGTATTCACACCTATGCGATCCGATTATGCACATCGCACCGCTTTTTGCGGACTGATTTCGGGGGGTTGTTAACTTAACATACACACCTGCGGCGGTTCGCATGAACGGGCTGTGACTGTGATACGGTGCGGAATTCGCACAGAAACCGGTGTGAATTCCGCACCACATGAGTGTGAACCCAGGCTAAATGAGGTCTGAGGAAAAAAGCTCCGCCCACCCACGTCATCATGCTCCTACGCTGACGTCACGTCCGCCCCGATGCCATTTGCGTTCCAGACTGGTTCCCTGCAGCGACTGGCCGCTCTAGGATGCCCTTCCAGCTAAAAATCAAACGCAGGGATACCATTTGTCCTCCAATGTCTCCCGGGAGCCCGGACTACGTTTGGTGACATTATCATTTCTTTTTGAGTTGCTAACTGCCATTTTTACCAATAAATTGTACATTTAATGCTGCACTTAGTCCGGCGCCCCTCTTCCTTCTTCTTTTCCACATACAGAGTTCAGCTTTGCTCTGAGGGTGCTGCTACTGATGCCGCCGTTTGCAAATATATTGTCATTGTGAGCACTAATGGTCCCCCACATGGACTTTTTGATGGACCGTATGGACTTTCATGTAGCTTTATTATACCCCTCCAGCTCCAAATTTGTATATATTGGTTAGCTTAACATACACACCCGAAGCGGTGCGCATGAACGGGGTGCGACTGTGATGCGGTTTCCGCACCGCATCAGTGTGAACCCAGGCCAGTTCCCACTACATGCATTTCAGTTGCTTTTTTTCTGCATCCAAAACGCACAGAAAGTAGGTTATACAGTTGTCAATGTCATAGTTCACATCAGTGCTTGCAGTTCCAGTGCGTTCCAGTTGCATAAAAAAAATAGAACATGCTGCATTTTTTTTGTGCACAGAACTTTACTGGAATGCGGTAAAAAGCATAAAAAATACACTGGAATGCACATGTCCCTATTTAGGGCCAGTTCACACTACATGCATTTCAGTTGCTTTTTTTCTGCATCCAAAACGCACAGAAAGTAGGTTATATGGTTGTCAATGTCATAGTTCACATCAGTGCTTGCAGTTCTAGTGTGTTCCGGTTACAGAAAAAAAAAGTTGAACAGGTTGCATTTTGTCTTCACAGAACTGCACTGGAACGCAGCAAAATGCACCAAAAACACACTGAAATGCACATGTCCCTATTTAAATTGCAGAAAAAGAGAGAGAGGAAAAAATAAACTGGAATGCATAAAAACGCACCGGAACGCGCCAAAAACACATAAAAAATGCACCACATCTGGACTGCGTTTCTATAGTGTGAACCGGCCCTAAGGACCAGTTCACACTTCATGCCTTTCAGTTGCTTTTTTTCTGCAATCAAAATGCACAGAAAGTAGGTTATATAGTTGTCAATGTCATAGTTCACATCAGTGCTTGCAGTTCCAGTGCGTTCCGGTTGCAGAATAAAAAGTAGAACAGACTGCATTTTTCCTGCACAGAACTGTACTGGAATGGGGTAAAATGTATCAAAAATTCACTGGAGCGCACAGGAACGCACCAAAAATGCATTGGAATGCACATGCCCCTATTTAAATTGAAGAACAAGAGAGGGGAAAAATTAAACTGAAATGCATAAAAAACGCACTGGAATGTGTCAAAAACACATCCAAAAATGTACTGGAACAAAGCCAAAAACGTGTCAAAAATGTGCATGCAAGAACTCATCCGCAACGTATCTGTACTGCGTTTCTATAGTGTGAAATGGCCCTAAAGGATAACTCCACTTTTATGGGAAAAAAATATCAAATAAAAAACAAAATAGCAAAGACAATTGCTGCCTAAGTCGTGTTCTAATTGAGTGTTA